ATAATATTATTTTAATCAAACGTAGCAAAATATTTCTCCAAAATGTAGCCTCTTTACTATATTGTATTTCTAATTCCTTATCTATCGTTCTATTTTTCACCCATATGATCCTCATATTTGTGGATTCTAAGTGTTGAATTGATATTTCATGACGTTGAATGCTTTGTGATAAATGTTTCCAATCATCGATTCCATTTATCCATTCAGACTTAAAAGAAGTACTTTTTCTATTAGCGAACAACCAGCATGATTCACAATAAGCTTTATCTAAAACTGTAGAATAGCATAACCAAGAACGAGGTATTTTTGAACCAGACCGTGCAGAAACAAAATAGAAATTAGAAGATAATTTTCTGCCCTCATTATTTTTTGGAAATTCAATAACTGGCTTACATGGACCAAATGATATAATGCTTCTTTTAATGTCACTGTTCTCTACTTCTTCATCAAAGTGTGCACGATCAGTTGGATTAGTCAAAGTAAGATTCAATAAATTTTGTTCTGCAAAAATCAAATCATTATTTGTTAGTTGATTAATTGACCAAAATTTCATATTTAATATTATTTAAAAAAAATATAGTTAGTATTTAGTGTTTGTTAATTACCATTTTCTTCTTTATAATTATTATCATTTTCAGGTATATTTGAATCATTGGTATTGGTGCACAATATTGAGTTTGACTTTAAATCAATTTTTCCTTAAAAATAAAAATTAGTTATGATAATTAATAAATAAAAATAACCACTAATATATTTTATTCAAATTTATATTAAGTTAAAAAATCTGTTTGAAAGGTTTAATTTAGAAAAAATTGTTTTTCCTATAGGTAAAAATCTGGTTTAACTCCTTTTGAACGCGCACTAAATATATAATAATAATAATAATATAATATGACAGGTAAATATTGTTCAGCAATCAGCATATAACTTAATAATAGGTACTTTACAATTTTCTATATTTTACCTTTTAAAACCAGACCAAAGCGAAAAGAATAATAATAATAATAACCAACCAAAATTTCATATTTAATAAAATTTTAAAAAAAATATGGTTAGTATTTAGTGTTTGAAAATTACCAATTTCTTTTTTTATAATTATTATCATGTTCAGGTATATTTGAATCATTGGTATTAGTATAAATATTAAGTTTGACTTTAAATCAATTTAAATAATCACCAATATATTTTTTCAAATTTATATTATGTTAGAAATTCTTTTTTAAAGGTTTAATTAAGACAATTTTGCGCAGACATTCTCCAGTGCCCTAAGGCTTTTGATTTGTATTAAGTAACAAAAATATTATTTTGTACAATCTATTTAGAACAATTTGAACATAAATCCTCTGGCGCCCGATGACTTTGTTTTTAGATCAGGTACAAAAAAATATGGTTTATGTTATTAAGGATTTAAGTATGATTAAAAAATTTGAGTTAAATTGATATATAGTACAAAAAATATTATTTTAAATTATTAATTTAGAAAAAAATTGCGCATAAGTCACCCTAATAAAAATGATAATTCTATTTTACTTTTAACTCTATACTCTATATACCTAACTAGACAATTAAAACTCCTACTAGAAATATTTAAATTGATTATGACTACAATATTGATATTAACAGTATGAACTTGATTAATTTACCTGTATTCAAATTATCAACAGTTTTTTCATTGATTTGAATCTCTGGTGACTGGATCAATTCATTTAATTCTGAAGCTTGAGGTTCATCAGCTATAAAATACAAAAGTACCTATGTATATTTAATAGAATATATTGTAATATTAATAATAATAATAAAAATATTTTTGGTGCGCCGTCAAAGTGTTATGTTAAAAATTATACCGTAAAACCGGGTGAATAGAAACAGTGTGGTAAATAGAAACAAAATCAGGAAAGTTATTATTTCTTCGTCCCTATAATCAAATATTTGTGTTATCAATATGAAACCTTCACTAAATCGAATACACACTAGTACGAAATTCGATAATCTCAAAACGTTCCGTTTATATTTCCTTCCATGCACGTAAAATTGATAACAAACATGCACTATTTCTTATCAAAAAAAAAAACCCAAAATACAAACTCACCGTTTATAATGAAATAATTTGTTGATCGACCACTTACACATTAAAATTGTTCAAGCTTGTTGTCAGTAGTCGAAACTTGTAAGTATAATAATTTTAAATTCATTATTTTTTTTTTTATTATAAATTTTGTAAAATGTCTCTTTTTGCGGGTGAATAGAAACAATCATGGGCCGTATTAGAAAAAAAGATCCAAGAGCCAAAAAATATAAGATTCCCAATCCAAATGATTTAGAATCGGCCATTCGGTGCATAAAGGCACGACAAATGACCTACAGAGAAGCTAGTGAAGTATATGGTATACATTATTCGGTACTTTTCCGCCATGTCAAAAATCCGGACTTGAAGGCACAAGGTGGACAAACTGCACTTTCCATTGAAGAAGAAAATCATATAGTATCATGCCTGTCTCTTTGTGCAGAATGGGGGTATCCATTGGATAGGTATTATATTAGAATGGTGGTGAAAGGATACTTGGATCGACGAGGTAAGAAGGTGAGGCAATTCAATAAAAACAATATGCCTGGAAAGGATTGGGCAAATGGTTTTCTGACTAGGCACAAAACAAAACTTGCTCTCAGATTATGTCAAAATATAAAACGTTCCAGGGCAGCTATTACTAGAGAAATATTAAATAATTACTTTGACAACCTGGAGATCTCTATAGATGGTATTCCTCCTAGTCATATTGTTAACTACGATGAAACCAATTTAACCGATGACCCGGGTAGACGTAAAGTAATTACAAAGCGTGGATCGAAATACCCTGAACGTGTTATGAACAACAGTAAAGCTTCAACTTCAGTAATGTTCGCTGCTGCAGCTGATGGAGTACTCCTACCTCCATATGTTGTATATATATCAAAACATATAAGTGATACATGGAGAATTGGTGGTCCTAAACACACTCGTTTTAATCGTACTAAATCTGGTTGGTTCGACAGTTTTTGTTTTGACGATTGGATAAAAACAATTGCTATTCCATATTTATCTAAACTTTCTGGGACAAAAATATTAATTGGAGATAATTTGTCAAGTCATCTTTCCACTGAATCAATTAAAATTTGCCAAAAATATGATATTAAGTTTGTATTTCTTCCTACCAACTCCACGCATCTGACTCAACCGCTTGATGTGGCCTTTTTTAGACCACTGAAAATGCACTGGAGAAGTATTTTAGAAAATTGGAAAAAAACTGATGGTGCTCATGAAATATCTATTCCTAAGGATCGTTTTCCTATGTTATTGAAACGACTTGTACAAAAACTCAATGAAAACAGTGTTAATAATATTAAAGCTGGTTTTAATAAATGTGGTATCGTTCCATTTAATAGAGACAGAGTCCTAACTATGTTGCCGTATGATAGCTGTGATGTTAATCAAAGTGGAGATAGCATAAACAATTCAGTTTTAGAGTTCTTAAAAAGTATGAGGTCAAGTAACAGTACACCAAGAAAAACTAAAAAAAGATTACAGGTAGATCCAGGGAAAAGTGTTGAAACTGTGTCAGATACTGATAGTGACTCAGAACTAAGAACAGAATTACCTCATGAAAGTTCATCAGATGCAGACGAACCTGAAATGTCATTAAGTAATGTTCTCCATACTACTTCAGAACCTCAAATGGTGAAACATGGCATAACATTCAAAAATGTAATCCCTATAGACAAAGAAAATGAAGTAAACGTTGATGACTGGGTATTAGTATCTTTCCAACTCGAGAATCTCAAGCAATCAACTAGTAAAGATTTGGTATACATGTATTATATTGGACAAATCATTAAACGATTAGATGGATCTACATTTGAAGGTACATTTTTAAGAAGCAAGACCACAAAACTGTTTAAAGGCTTTGTGTATGGGTTTCCAAATGTTAAAGATATTTGTGAGTTTGATAGATCCCAAATTATTGGAAAAATGCAAAAACCAGTACCATATTCCAGAGGGCTTTTTAAGTTCACATTTAACTGTAACTCCATCTAGTCTTCTAACAATTTACTTTTAACAATTACTAGTTGAAAGTATTAACTAATTAATTATGTTTGTTGCCTACTGTATAATATAAAAAAAGTAAATCCAAAGACTGGAAATTAAGAGACTGAAATGTTAATTTTATTATTTTTTTTTCACATTACCTATGTATTTATATACATGTTGTTACATTTACATTTACCCATGTTAGTTATAAGAGTTATGTTTATGTTTGTAACCTAATATTATAAAATAAGTTAATCCAAAGACTGGAAAGCAAAATACTAAAATGTTAATTTAATTTTTATTTTTATTTATTCATATGATGTATGACTAAAATGTTATGACAAGGTGTTATTTTTATTTTGTTTTCTTAATATTTATTGATACAGTTGGTAAATGTTGTTGTATTTTAATAAAAAAAAATGATTAAAGTTGTGTACAATTTTTTAAAAATATCAATAATTGTTTCTATTCAACAACCTGTTGATATAATAAAAAAATGTATGCAAAAGTTTTAAGTATTTCTATTGTTACCAACTGTCGGGTCAATAGAAACAGAGCACTTAAAAAAATATATAAAATTATTTATTGAAACTAAAAAATGTTTGAATCAACAGGTTTAAAGTACTCGGCAAGACCAGTATTTTGATGTACTATTTAACTTTGTAGCTCAAATAGATAAGTTTTTATAATACTTCAAAGTTCAAAAGTGTTTCTATTCACACCGTTTTACGGTANATGAACTTGATTAATTTACCTGTATTCAAATTATCAACAGTTTTTTCATTGATTTGAATCTCTGGTGACTGGATCAATTCATTTAATTCTGAAGCTATAAAATACAAAAGTACCTATGTATATTTAATAGAATATATTGTAATATTAATAATAATAATAAAAATATTTTTGGTGCGCCGTCAAAGTGTTATGTTAAAAATTATACCGTAAAACCGGGTGAATAGAAACAGTGTGGTAAATAGAAACAAAATCAGGAAAGTTATTATTTCTTCGTCCCTATAATCAAATATTTGTGTTATCAATATGAAACCTTCACTAAATCGAATACACACTAGTACGAAATTCGATAATCTCAAAACGTTCCGTTTATATTTCCTTCCATGCACGTAAAATTGATAACAAACATGCACTATTTCTTATCAAAAAAAAAAACCCAAAATACAAACTCACCGTTTATAATGAAATAATTTGTTGATCGACCACTTACACATTAAAATTGTTCAAGCTTGTTGTCAGTAGTCGAAACTTGTAAGTATAATAATTTTAAATTCATTATTTTTTTTTTTATTATAAATTTTGTAAAATGTCTCTTTTTGCGGGTGAATAGAAACAATCATGGGCCGTATTAGAAAAAAAGATCCAAGAGCCAAAAAATATAAGATTCCCAATCCAAATGATTTAGAATCGGCCATTCGGTGCATAAAGGCACGACAAATGACCTACAGAGAAGCTAGTGAAGTATATGGTATACATTATTCGGTACTTTTCCGCCATGTCAAAAATCCGGACTTGAAGGCACAAGGTGGACAAACTGCACTTTCCATTGAAGAAGAAAATCATATAGTATCATGCCTGTCTCTTTGTGCAGAATGGGGGTATCCATTGGATAGGTATTATATTAGAATGGTGGTGAAAGGATACTTGGATCGACGAGGTAAGAAGGTGAGGCAATTCAATAAAAACAATATGCCTGGAAAGGATTGGGCAAATGGTTTTCTGACTAGGCACAAAACAAAACTTGCTCTCAGATTATGTCAAAATATAAAACGTTCCAGGGCAGCTATTACTAGAGAAATATTAAATAATTACTTTGACAACCTGGAGATCTCTATAGATGGTATTCCTCCTAGTCATATTGTTAACTACGATGAAACCAATTTAACCGATGACCCGGGTAGACGTAAAGTAATTACAAAGCGTGGATCGAAATACCCTGAACGTGTTATGAACAACAGTAAAGCTTCAACTTCAGTAATGTTCGCTGCTGCAGCTGATGGAGTACTCCTACCTCCATATGTTGTATATATATCAAAACATATAAGTGATACATGGAGAATTGGTGGTCCTAAACACACTCGTTTTAATCGTACTAAATCTGGTTGGTTCGACAGTTTTTGTTTTGACGATTGGATAAAAACAATTGCTATTCCATATTTATCTAAACTTTCTGGGACAAAAATATTAATTGGAGATAATTTGTCAAGTCATCTTTCCACTGAATCAATTAAAATTTGCCAAAAATATGATATTAAGTTTGTATTTCTTCCTACCAACTCCACGCATCTGACTCAACCGCTTGATGTGGCCTTTTTTAGACCACTGAAAATGCACTGGAGAAGTATTTTAGAAAATTGGAAAAAAACTGATGGTGCTCATGAAATATCTATTCCTAAGGATCGTTTTCCTATGTTATTGAAACGACTTGTACAAAAACTCAATGAAAACAGTGTTAATAATATTAAAGCTGGTTTTAATAAATGTGGTATCGTTCCATTTAATAGAGACAGAGTCCTAACTATGTTGCCGTATGATAGCTGTGATGTTAATCAAAGTGGAGATAGCATAAACAATTCAGTTTTAGAGTTCTTAAAAAGTATGAGGTCAAGTAACAGTACACCAAGAAAAACTAAAAAAAGATTACAGGTAGAACCAGGGAAAAGTGTTGAAACTGTGTCAGATACTGATAGTGACTCAGAACTAAGAACAGAATTACCTCATGAAAGTTCATCAGATGCAGACGAACCTGAAATGTCATTAAGTAATGTTCTCCATACTACTTCAGAACCTCAAATGGTGAAACATGGCATAACATTCAAAAATGTAATCCCTATAGACAAAGAAAATGAAGTAAACGTTGATGACTGGGTATTAGTATCTTTCCAACTCGAGAATCTCAAGCAATCAACTAGTAAAGATTTGGTATACATGTATTATATTGGACAAATCATTAAACGATTAGATGGATCTACATTTGAAGGTACATTTTTAAGAAGCAAGACCACAAAACTGTTTAAAGGCTTTGTGTATGGGTTTCCAAATGTTAAAGATATTT